TTATGTTTTTCTTTTTGTTTTAATTGGAATAAGGTTTGGTTAAAATTAAGTTATTGATATTGAAGATGCTTTAATGTGTTTATATCAACCGACTTTGAAGAAGCATGGGAGGGTCGGATAAATGAAAAATAGCAAGCTCGTAGTGGAGAGAGAGATGGATGTGGTCAAATGATTTTGCGTATGGATTTTTGTTTCGAGTACCTTCTAAATCTTGATAATTGTTGCTATTAATGTAGTATTGTGATCCTTAATTTGTGTTATTTTCATGGTGCAACAACTGGATGAGATTGAAGAATAAATTGAAGGAGATGTAAGAGCGACGAGTTGCTTTTCGCAATATGCAAGCTAGAGTTTAGAGAAAAAATAGATTTTTTTTTAAAGGTGTTTTTTTTTAAAAAAAAAATTATGTTTCGCTTTTTTTTTTGTTCATATGTTTTTGATTTTGTTTAAATAAATAATTTTTTTTTATCCAAATTGAAAATTCTTTCTTATTCAAAAAGTTCAAATATAAACAATTTTACCTCATGTTTGTTTTAATTTCATCATTTAGTGTGGTTTATTTTCAATACATTTTATTTGTGTTGAAATGAGCTCAATACATGTAAGCAGCATCCAAAGTGATCAACAATGAGGGGTTGATGTAACCCATTGTATGCTAAGTTTTTTTGCTAAAAGTTTATGATGCATTAAATTCCTTATATTTTCTTTTGCAATGGTTTGCTTGCTATGCACAAACGAGTATGCTTTATGATGGTGAATTTTTTTGTTTAGCTTCCCGACATACTTTTTAAAATATTTTTTGCTCCCTTCGATTGACATTTTATTATTCATATAGTTTTAAAACTTTTGTAGTCTATGTTTGTTAAATTGTGTTTTCGTCCATTATTCGAGTTCTTTTGTATTATTATGCGTACTAACTTGAATTCATTTTGTTCTTGCTATAGTGCTACTAGTAGTTGCATTTTATTATTATTATTATTATTATTTTGATAAACTTTGATATGAACTCGTTACATGCCCGATGCACTAGTTTGAGGGATAAAAACTACTACAAATGTTTAGTTACTTTGTATGGTCTTGCATAAATTGAAACTTTTTATGCTTTGTCGATAAAACTCAACTTTTCTATTTTTTATGATTCTTTGGTGAAAGTCTAATTTAATGAAGGATTTGTTGGTTGTTTTTTAATGGTCTATTTTTTCTATTTGTCTTTGGATTGTGTTGTTTTAGGTGATTGTTTTTGTTTTCCTATATTGTGTTGACATCTTTGAAGTGCATTATTTTATGTTTCCTTTACTTTTTTATATCATATTTCATTAATTGCTTTTCCTCTTTTTTTCTTTTCTTTTTTCCTTATAGCTTTGGTAAAAGTAGTGGTATTTCTCCTATATGTGACATGTTTTGCATTCAACTATGACTTTATTTTTTTTCATGTTTAATTTCTTTTTAGTAATATTTCTATAGCTTTTTACGTTTGCCTTCAATGTTAATATTGTTGAAAATTTATTTTTTATTGAGGTAATTTTTGTCAAAACACCAAGACTCATTGCATTCGTATATTCCTTAGTTTTGTTCCTTATTTATCATATTCAATATGACTATCTAAATCCTTTTCTTTATTTTAGGTCGATTTTTTATGGATGAATGCGGTGCTAAATAATTTTTAATAAGCTCAACCATAGAAATTTTTATACATGCCATATTCATTAAGTGTGTTGAAACACTTAAAAAAAGAAGCCAAACAAGTCTCTTTATACAAAAATTGCTGACAATAGCATAGGTTCACAAAAGATTAATCAAAACTAAAATTGATTGGGATTTGGCTATTAAAATTGAATAATTGACATTAGTAAAGAAACTAGTATACCTTTATTTGTTATTTATTCTCTTTCATTCATCCATTATGTATTTCTTTGAAGGATGATCTTTTTTTCTTTTTTCTCTTTTTATGCATAATAGAATAGTATCAAGCAATTTTTTGAATGTTAGATTAAAGGCAATCAAATATATGAAATGATAGTGATTTTAGCGATAGGTCGCTTGAAAGCAAATGTTCTATTCGTAAAATATGCAACACTAATGAACTTGATTGATGCATGAAAGAGCGAGTCAATTTTTCTATTTATCATGATATGTTTTTGCCCTTAAATTTGTATTTAATTCAATCTTTTCTAGCAACCTAATATGAATTCTTTTAAATATTTAACATGTTGTATCAAATCATGTCGGAAAACTTATATAATTTAATTTCAAGCATGTTTATAACTTCAACAATGATCAAGGAAAGAATGATTTACAAGTAGGTTTTTGGTTGATTGTCTCATTTTATATAATTTAAGCATGTCTTGAAATCAAGTTTGTGCAAGTGCAAAGCAATTTTTTCATGCATGTTTATAACTTCACCAATAATCAAGGGAAAAATGATTTGCAAGTAGATTTTGATTGATAGTCTCATTTCATATAATTTAAGTCTCGTCTTGAAATCAAGTTTGTGTTATATTTGTTTTATTTAAAGACATGCTTTGATTCGAATGTGAGTGCCATATAAGTTGTCAAATGCTTTGTTTGGAGTTGTTTTGCCTCATTCATTTATGTTTTTCTATAGAAAATTATTTTGTTTATTATTGCTTAGATTCATCGGCTTGAGTCTCTCTCTCTCTCTCTCTTTTTACCCTATTTGATTTGTATTATTTAATAAACTTGCTTAATAACATTAAATTATAAGATTCGTTTAGATTGAGATACTAATTGAAACATTTTAAATCTTTTTTAACTGTTGGAATATGATTGCTTTGCATGAGTATCTATTTGTACTCTATCAAGATTTAAATTAATTTTTTTGGATCCATTTTTGAACTATTGTCTTCAAATTTGCTCCATTTTGAACTCATCGTGTTTATCACTTGCCTGGAAAATTGATTATTGTTGGCTTATATTATTGATCATTTTGTTATCCTAATTGGTTAAGTACAACCAATAATGCAAATAGTAATGAAGTTTTGTTGAAAAAGCAATTGCAATTTATGGATGAAACTAGAGTTGAAGTCAATCACTTGACATTAAAACAAAATAAAAATTGAGGTGCATCATCTTAAATACTACTTGCATCATATCAAGTTTAATGTTAAACGTTATTTCAGATTGTTTATGAATGTTGGCTTGACTCATATGTGTGTTACTCTCTCAATTAATGCAAGGTTGTTTACCTAATTAAATATTTATACTTTTTCAACTATTCATATATTGTCTTTGTTGTTTGTCTCTACTAAACTTTAAATATTTATTTTGTAAATCTAAAACTCTTTTGAGTTGTTGAGAATTATTTTGCTTAAATCACTAAGCATGCTCTTCAGCTTATGGCATTAAGTATACTTTTGCCAGAAATTTTTTCTAACAAATTCTAACAAACTCGAAGTACACAAATATTTATACATTGCCTCAAAAGTGATTTTTAATTTATATTGTAGATGCGATGACGTTGACTATAATCATGAAGGACACGGATCCTGACAAATCTATGAGAAATGAAGAAGGATTATACCATTGATGGCTCAAACGTTTCGTGTCATGTTTCTTTGGGCTGTACAAAATGACAACACATCTTTTATGAATTTTTTTTGTCACATGTAACTGCATTTACATATGTTAAGTACATTTAAATATTTTTCATTATTTTTCTCAATAAAGCAATGTTTTTTTTTCTTTTTTTTTTAATTATTCTACTTGTTTCGCTTAACCCGCAGACATAATGCAGATAACAAATTAGTAAATATGATGGATGATGTCTAAATAATTATTGAATATTTAAATTTTTCATCCCATGAGTAATAAATAATATAAAAATATCTAAATTTCTCATATGAGATAATAAATAATATGTAGATATTTAAAACGCCATCTATAAATATCCATTACCATTCCTACACAACCAATTAATAAGACCACGAGGCTTCGAACCAGAAATAAAACCAAATAAATTAAAGCGGTTGACACTATTCATCTAAAAATAATAAATCAATTTTTTTTTTTTATCAATTTAACTATTCATTAAATCTTTGTACTAAATTGGTTTGTTTAATATAAATCCTTCACTATTGAAGTGGTTGGTAATATTAAGTAAAATCCTTCACCATTTAAGCGGTTGACAATATTAAGTAAATTACACGATCAAATTTTACGTGTTATTTGATCTCGTCACTCCGTTAGTTATTTTTCCTTCCTCTTTTTTTATTACAAAAAAACATTTATTAAAATTAGATTATTTTTTGATAGATTGTAATGTAACCTGTTTTTTCTCTCTTCATTTTTTTGTTATACCTCTCTCCCTTTAAAAATAAACCCATAAAATAACTATTACAAATATACACGAGTTAATCTGCAATATTTGATACCACATTGCTAACCAAAAACCCACATTAAACATTCAATACAAAAACCCAATTAACATTTTCATTGATTTGTACATGACTGCAAAAATAACGTCTCTGTCTCTTTTTAATTAAAATAAAACTCTAATTCTATCTGCAAACTTGGATAACACGTCGCCTCACATTTTTTCTTTTAATTAAAGTTAAAATAGAGAGTCCAATTAGATGATTCGATCTGCAAACTTGGGTAACACGTCCCCGTTCTCTTTGGGCAGTCCCCATCACTTTTATCCCTGGAAGGCAGAATTATTCGAAACTGCTAGATCCAATGACTTCGATTTGACACTCAAAGAGCATTTCGTTTCTCAACTAACAAAACAGTGGAAGATAAGAGAGAAAATGATAGCATTACAATTTCGATATCATATTTTTAGAATGGACTCTTCATTGCAATAGTTGGCGATATATACAAAAAGCTGGAAGGGACAACCAAGAGTTCATATGATAAGCAGCACCATCCGCTAATCACAAAAATGGTTCATATCGCCATTTCCATGGAGACCCGAGAATAAAGGGAGCAAAACAGCAACACAAAGTCATAAATCTGCTACGATCTGAAAATCCACTTCCACCCTACTGCTGGTTCTTAAAAGACTGCACAAAATATAACATTACACAATCAGCAGCAAGCCATCAAAGATAGCAGCTTATCTGATATTAAATTAAAATTATTAGATAAAATCTCACCTCAATATTCTTGGAGAGGTCTTTCATCTGCTCAGCAAGTTCTTGCTTCTTCTTTGCTGCTGCAAAACAAAACATTATTCATTGTCAGGCTAATAATAGCAAATGGTGACTGCAATTGCAGGTCCAAACCACAAAATGTAACAGAAACATACCCATGACTGAAATATCATCAATCCTCCTTGATGTCCTTACTGCAAACCTCTGGAATGCAGGACTGCAACCATATTTGAAAAAAACATAATTAGAGCCGATAATGAAAAGGCTAAAACCTCAACTGTGTTCAGAATCAAAGGTCAAAAATGAGAAGGTTGAGATCATAAAGCAATAAATGATTTTTCAAGCCTACAGACACCATAGGCAAACGATAAAAAGAGCAAAAAAGATGTGATCTGCTAATCGAGCAGGTAAACTAGGCAAACCAATTACATCCTATCATTGCTATTCATAATAAAATTCATATTCGTAGACCCTCCATCAACAACCCAAACTCTTCTTCGTTCAATCAACTTAACCAAATCAGATGAGATAATAATAACACAGAAAGATAAATAAATAAATGCTCAATTGTGGAATTTTCTCAAACTTCAGAAGTTGCACTGCACTTCACACTGCATGCACAATAATTTAGAAGATTTGAGACTGTTTTGCTTCAGGGAGCAAACTGTTTAGGAATGAGATCCATCCCGACAGCCTATCAGAGAAGCTTCAACAGAAAAGTTCCACAAGTCATTAAAGCTCGGCACACAATCTTTGAAAGATTAATAAATTAACTGCAACAACCTTACAAAGAAGACCCAAACAAAACAACTATTATCCGCTCAATCAAAACAATGATATATGATTCAAAGCAACATAAAGAGCACCCATCTTATAAACAAACTAAAAAACCCCAGTAAAATTTTCTCCAACTTCAATAGCCACAGTGCATAACAAATTGCACTGCAGACAAAAATATAAATGAAGACAAGAGCCACTTTTGCTTCAACTGAACGAACCATTAAGGAACCTATCTAACCCCAATGGTCAGAGAAAGAAGCTTATCTAAAATAAAAACACAAAAAGATTATTGAAGAATTAAAATATACACTGACGATGGCGATAACATAACACTATAGCAACAAAAATCAAAGGCGGATAGGAAATCAATAGAATCGATATTACCTGTTAGCAAGACCATTGACGACAACCTCATTCACGACATAAGATAAGACTCTATGTACGAAATTCCCACCCGCCATGGCTCGTTACCTTTATTTAATTTTCTAAAACCAAAACAGAGATCACACAAATCAGCACCAAGTTTAATCTTAAGAAATGAAATTGATTGATCAACAAATCCTTTAAGAATTTCTTTTTCATTTCTATTTCAAAATTACAAGACCAAACAGAGGCCTATAAAACAGTAATTCAAATTAAAAAGAAAAAGGAAATCATGAAGAAACCCTTAACTACCAAAGTCATAAATTCTATATAAAAAAAAGGCACGTAAAGAACAGATTGGAATGATTATTGAAAAAGAGTAATTAAAGAATTAATTGCGATTAAGAAAATCGTTGAAAATTTTACTTTACCTGAGAGAAAAAGAATGGCGATCGTCAAGCTAGGCTTCTGGGACCTACCTGAATTCCAGTGCGGAGAAAGTGTCGTCGATATTAGGCGACTCTTTAGGGTTGGGCGATCTTAAAACATTAAAGAGAGGCCCATGGGCTTGGTTTCTTGTAGGTATTTTTCATTCACTTGGGTTTGAAGCAAGGCCCATAGTCTTGGGTCAGTTAGCAAGATGATTTGCATCGGTTTACCCATTGTCTATGCTCAAATCAATTACTTCAGCTTATAGATACAATTATAATTTCATTTATTTTTTTAAAGCATCATTTTTAATTTTATTTTTCACATAAATGATATAAAAATTTCTTAGATCAAGATATAATTTCAAATCTTTTCTATCACTTTCAATGTTTTTTACTTAATATTTGTTCCTTATTGTTATTATTATTATTATTATTATTATATATAGAAAAAATGTATATTTTGTTATTCAATGTGAATATAATAAAAATACTGAATTAAATAAATATAACACATTTAACATTGAATATTGACAGGGACAAAAATAAAATTATTGGGATGACAAATAAAACTTCAATTGAATATTTTGTATTTTATTAATTATAATTTTCTTTTTTGTTGTTGGATAATGATGGCAACTTCTATGGTTATTTATTGCATGGTAAACACTATCTTATTATTTTGTAAACTTGAAGGCATTATTATTATAGTATCTTGAAATAACCATAAAAGCCCTGGATATTGGTATCTAATAACAACCATATAAATGAAAGTAGAACTCAAAATGAAAATAATATATGCTGACAATAATTTTATTGATTATGAGAAATAAACAAATTAGATACTTAAATTAAAAGTTTTGTTTAAAAAATACTTCAAAAGAAGTGAAAAGAGTTAACAAAAAAAAAAAATGACAAATCTTGAAATTCAAAATATAGCTAAATGCATCTTCTCTATGAAGAATAGTTAGAGTAAGATTCAAGATTTTCATTTTCTAAGTGAAGGAGTTAGAGTGTATTTGTATTATATGTAACTCTACATCTCACAAAAACTATGATTTTGTGAGATTGTCCGTCCTATTATATTAAACAAGAATTATACTATTCCTTACTTGTGAATAAAATGCATTTCATTTTTTCTTTCTATCATATAAGTATTACATTACATGAAAACTAGGAAATAGCAACGGATTAAAGTCTCGTCACTAAATAGTGACGAATCAGCGAACAAACTACGACCGTTGTTGAGGTGTAGACCTCGACTACGGAACATCAATGAATTAGTGATGGATTTTTAGCGAGGGACCTATATCTCGTTGCTATATTTAGCGGTAAAATATTCGTAGATATTTTAGAGATGGTTTAGCGAGGTAATTGCGAGGGACATTAGTGATGAACTCTTGATTCCATTGCTATTTTTTGGGTTCGAGATTAGCAACGAAATTTCCATCGTTAATTGTAAATTCCTCTCATAAATTAGAGATGGAAAGTCCGTTGCAAATATTTGAAAAATAACGGACTTTTGGAATTCAAAATTCGCTAGATCAACAATGGACTAGCGAGGTACACTTATGTCCGTCGTTGATTAGCAATAGATTAGCGATTTAAATGCTTCCATCGCTAATCTTTCATCCCTAAATCATAGTTTATCTTTTTTCTTCCCTCATTTTCTTCTTCCTCTCCCTCTCGCTTCGCTAACCATTGCTGCCATCCCTACCCAAAACCACCATAAAACCCCGCTCCTCCACTATCCAACAACCCCCACTCACTCTAAACTTTTTTCTTCCTAAAAAGCCTCAAATTTTTCCTTTCTTTCCATCTCATCCTTGTTCGAAGGCAAGTTCTCTCTCTCTCTCTCTTTTGTTTCTTAAAAAAAATTATTATTTTTCATAATTGTTAGGTTAATTTTGATTAATTGATTGAATTTTAATTTTTTTTATATTTAATTGTTAATTGGTTAGGTTAATTTGTTAATTAATTGGTATTTAAATTAATTAGGATAATTTGTTAATTAGGGTTAAATTAATTAGGTTAATTAGGTTTGAATTAGGATTAAATTAATTAGGTTAATTTGTTAATTAATTTTTTAAAATTTAATTAGGTTAATTTATTAATTAGGGTTAGATTAATTAGGTTAATTAGGTTTGAATTAGGGTTAATTTACCTAGGTTAATTTGAATTAGACTTAAATTAATTAGGTTAATTTGAATTGAATTTAAATTAATTAGGTTAATTTATTAATTAATTATTATTTAAATTTAATTAGGTTTGAATTAGCATTAATTTACTTAGGTTAATTTGAATTAGAGTTAAATTAATTATATAGAAGTAATGACTTACAATTTAAATCATCCAAATGGATAGTTTATAGATATAGAAGTAATTGAAGCTAATGACGAATATGAGAGTGAATATGTATCGGAATCGATTAAGAAAGAGAAAAACTTAGAAGATGATTATGATAATTGTAGTTATAGATCAATTTTATTTGTTGTATTTATTAAATTATGTCATTTTATCTATTATGTATTTTTAGATGTTTATTGTTCATTTTGAATATGTTGAATTTGTGCGAGTGACGTCTTCGGTAATAAGAAAATATCTAATTTATAGTAGAGACTATGCTAGATTTTTATTTTTTTATAAAAATAATTTATAATATATTTTGAATTGAATTGTTATTCAATTATTGCATTTGTAAAACTATTTTAGGTGTTCTTTTAGAGTTATATCTTGTGGATTTGGTCATTTCACCCTAGCATCACATGCAAGCAAATTTGATCACGGTGGTACTGGTCATGGCTCGATAGTAATAATGTTTGTGATCGTGGCATTGATACTAGTAATGTTCGTTGATAGTGGCATTGTATATGGTCGTGGCACTCGTTAGTGCTGGTGTCCGGGGTTGTAGACTTAATAGTGGCATTGACACGTTTGCATCTTTATCAATAATGCCCCTTAGGTAATGTCCCCGCCGGTAGTGCCTTCAGCTATGAAGGTCCCCTTAATGGTTTTTTTAGCTCTAAAAAGCTTTACTTGGATCCGATATTGGATGGAACATTCGGATCATCAATAATTGGAAAGTAATATGCTTTAGATGTGGTAATTAATTATATATTTCATATATTATATTACAATAATTAATTCACTTATTTATTATTTCTTTGTTTCATTTGACAATTTGGATTCCATCAAGTAAATGTTCCATAAAAATCACTATAATTTTCAATGAAGGGATTGGACCTCGCTGGTTTCACATGGAAGTTTGTTTTTAGAGAGACAAAAGACTTCTACTTTAATGAGTTCGAATAATATATTAATTATTTGTTATTTTTCATTTAAAAGTATTAATTCAATATGAAATATACGTACTAATATTATTTTTTTCTTCATATAGAAGTATTTTTTTATGGGATGTGGCTATCAATACGTTAATTAAGGATGCATAAGAGAGTCTCGTCATAAGGTGGTACACCAACATGTTGAATAAGCTGAAGCATAAGATCAACGGACTCACGTTTATTATAGAACATGTGTGGGATGCATGGTGTCGGGTTAGGCCACACTTGAGTTTTGGACCCGATCTCAATAGGTGTTTCGAAGCTGCATGTTGAAGATGGATGGTGTCGATGTTGGCCCATCCAAGCATACGAGGGATTCATCTCTTTGATTGAGCATGCTAAGTATTTGGTCAATTCCGTTATCCATTATGTTATAAATTAATATTAATATTTATTGCATCTTATATTATTTTATCTATTTTTTCAGCATAATAAATTAGGTCATAGCCTAAATTCTTAAAGGTGTTCCCGAACACTCATAAGCAAAAAGATGGGTCATTTGTCTATAGGAAATCCCGGACGATAATGATAAGTTTTTTATTTTGTAAATATACATCTATCCGTATAATATAAAAAATATATTCATGACTTAATATTATAATTATTTCAATTATGTAGGTGCACATACAATCATTTGTAAGAAGCAGTTGCTAAGGAGTAACACAAGGGTGATTCGTCATTTCTAAACATCGATATGACCAAAATATATTTCAATGTTGTAGAAGAGGAGAAGAAGCGAGAGAGTGTATGACCTCGAAACACAATCATCCTAGTATTACTCTCATTTAGCATCATCTCTTTCTCTACCACATTGCGGTATCCTAGTGGTAATATTCAAGAGGTTACCGCCCAATGCAAAGAGAGAATCATAGAATGAAGGGGATGGAGGTTGACTATACTTGATGGTTTCAAGAATATGAGGGTAAATTCAACATTCTATAGAGTCGGATAGAGATAAAGATGGGGTTATTACGAGAGCCGTACTAGACTTGCGTCTCTCCTACCGACCCTTCATAACTCGAAGTCGAGTTGTTCCTCTCAATACCTAGCGAGTCGAAAGATGATGAAGGCTAGATTTCTTTTTTTTTTTTAGGTTTTTAATGTTTTTGTACTCCTTAACGCATTTATATATTTATTTTATTTCAATTTATTTGATTTCAATTTGATTTTAATAATATATCATTTTTAATAAAGTGTTATTTTTAGTTATTTGCTACAACTCGTTAACATTAAACAACTATTATTTTTTATATATAAAAAAGTTTCTTTATTAGCAATGGATCAAAGAATGAATTAGTGATAAAAATTAAACCTCTTTGCTACAATCAAATATACGATTGCTAAATAGCAACAAATTTACGAGGAATTTTAATGAGTATGATTTAGCAACAACAATTTTGTCACTAAATAGCAACATAAATGAAGAGAATAGTGACGATTTTGCGACATATACTAAACCCGAAAGATGACTATTTACTTCAATTTAGCAACATTAATTCTACACATTAATGACGGATGAAAATTTTCGTCACCTAAAAAATAGCGCACCACTAAAAAAATAGAAACAATTGTTTTAACTACTGAAAAATATTATCTTAAATCTGTCGCTAAAGGTAAATAGCGACGAAAAATGATGATTTAATGATGAAAAATTCCGTAGCTATTTCTCGATTTTCTTTTAGTGATAATTTTTTTAAAAATACACCAAATAAATGGGAAGACTACATTTTAAGATTGTTTGGAGAAAAAAAAATTAATCTCAATCAATGTATAAATTAATTCAAAAATATGTTTACCATCGATAAAAATAAAAATTTTGCAGGTATGTTAGTACATTTGGTGGATAAGCGGTCTTAGGCACTATAAGCCTTTTCAACTCATTATTTATATTTTAATTTTTGATAAAGATCATGGGAGTTTCGTTTCATAATTTAATAATTAACTAGTTGGTTGTTTGCGTTATGCTTGTAGGTCCGTTAGAACAAAATTATTTTATAATTTTATAATTATAATTCTTTCTAATGTTTTTCATAAATTTTATGCTTAAGAAAAAACATAAATCATTCTTCTTTATGGAATGATTTTAAAATAAAAAATTATGATAATTTTAACTAAAATATTTATCAAGATTTAAAAAAAAACTTTAAAAATATACTTTTCATAATATTGTATTAAAAAAAAGAGGTTATAATTAATGGACGAGACTTTTATAAAAATTAATAAATGACAAAAATTCTTATTTAATGTTGATGAGAAGATTAAATTTTTGAAATTATCTATGAAACACTATGGGAAGACATAACAAAATCATTTCAAAATTTTATAATTTTTTATTTAATTATTACTATTTTTTGTGTTTTTCAAAAAAATTTACTTAAAAAAATGATTTATTCTTCTCTATTCAAGGATTATTAAATAAAATATATATTTTTATAAGAATGTATCCAAAAAATAAAGTTAAAATTAATATATAGACTTACATAAAAATTAACTAATGAAAAAATAAAATTATATTCTTATTTAATGTTGGAGAGAAGATTTTTTTTGTAAAGTATATGCATTTGATCTTTATATATTGATTTATAAAATTATCAATAAAATTAGTATAAAAAAATTGTATTTGAATAACTGGTTGGTTCTATTGAAAAATTATTTTATTTTATTTATTTTATTTCAAATAAATTGGTTGTATAATATTAAAAAAATATTTATATTAAATAATTTGTATTATGTTGGAAGTTGTATAGTTAATTTTTAATAAAAATAATGATTCAATAGTTTTTTTTATGCATCTTAACTATACCTAATGAATTGAGATAAATTATTTGAAATACGCTTTTAACCTTTTAGAATAAAATAATTATATATTTATATATATGCAAATATCATATAACAATTTTAAGAATTCATGATATATATTATACCAATTTATTTTTTAAAAAAAGAAAAAAAATCATGCTTTAAAATTTTATTATAAAATTCAAATATAGAGAAAAATAAATTATATTTATTAGTAAATAAAATTTTATATAAAAATATTAATTGGATAAGAATTTTCATAAAAAAATGATAAATTCAAATAATAAAATTTAAATAATAAGAGTAATATAAGTTGAAGTGTGTGTGAATGAAAAAAAATGAAAGTTGAGGATTGAAAAAAATGTTACGAGCATGAGGGATGAAAATAGAAAAAAATATATATTAAATTTGTATATTAATGCCCAAAAGTATATATAAAATTTACTTAAATTTTCATCAAGTAAATAGTAATTTTATGCATACAAAGAGTAATTGAATAAGAATTTTAGGCATATGAATAGTTCGAATTCACGTGCTATGCTACGGACCGAGCTAAACACATTTATTCCTATTTGATAATATATACTATATTGTTAATTAATTAAAATATATTAAATTAAATATAAAAGATAGAATTTCATCTAATTTTATAATTTTTAATCAAAATTTTTTTATCTATATGTATGTTTTATATTTTGAATAAATTTTGAAGTAAAAAAAATGATTTGTTCTTTCTTATGCATTTATTCTTATATAAAAACCTTTAATAAACAAATTTTGATATAAATTTTTTTAAAAAAATCTTAATATTTTTTTTTATAACATTGCATCGAAGAAATAAGCAACAATTAATATAAAAACTTGTATGAAAATTAAGAAATGAAACTTTTTTACTAATGATAAGATTATTTTTTAAACATATACATCCGATTTATATATATTTATTTACAAGATAGTGAATAGTATTAGTATATAACAATATATTTGAATTATTAGGTAGTTATTCTAAAATATTATTTCAATTATGTTATTTGAAAAAATTAATTTTAAATTATTAAAAAATAATAGCAAATAATTGGTATTGTATGTGTAGATGTATAGTTGGTTTCTAATAAAATCGATGACTCTAATATTATTATTTTTTATACATCATGATCGTACTCAATGAGTAAAAATGTATAGCATAAATTGAAAAATATTTTAAATAATTAAATCGTAAAATAAATATTGAAGTTAATAAAGTCCAATAAAAACTATAAAATTATTTTTGATAAAATTTGATTATCAAGAATAAGAAAACAAAATGCATATATTTTATTTTTGAAATTTTATTATATAAGAATCAAGCAAATTAAAAAAGGTATAAAAAAACTTATTCAAATCTATACATAGAGAAAATAAATCATATTTATTAATAAATAAAATTGTGTAAAAAATAAGAATAAAAATTAACTTGATGAGAATTTTTATAATAAATCGAAAAGATCAAGTTTAAACAATAAGGGTAGTGTATATTTATTCTAAAATCTAAAAACATATCGTATATATTATATAATCATTAGTTTGTGTAGAAAAATATAACGATTGATTTTTTAAAAATTTTAATACCCAATTAAATAAAAAAACATAAATTGATGAAAAAAATCAAAGGAAAAAACCAAAAAAAAAGAAGAAAAACATATGTAGTGCATCAACTATGGGATTAAAATTTGTATTTTAAAATTTTAGAAACTAAAATAAAATAAGTTGAAAATTAAAAAAAAAAAAAAAACCTAAATTATAGTAAATGAATAGTGAATTGTGAGGGGGTGAACAATGAAAATAAGTGTTCAAAACCCTCACTTTTTTAGTTTCTTTGTAACGATTGCCTAACTGAACCACATTGTTTCATTGACCGCACATGGGATTCATTAATTTGCAAATGGGGAAGAAGGGAATATGTACGAAGACCTGGACACAACAATTGCTTACAAAATATAAGGTTGGACAACATGGGCTAACTCGCTCAATGCAAATATATATATATATTTTTTTATCCAAACATTAAACCAGAGAAAAAGACCTCTACGGTATTCTTGGTCTTGATTCGCTTTTCCCCTTTCTTTCTAGCAAGATTTTCTAGAATGAAATTATCGCAATTTTTACCCTTCTTGTTCTTTGCTCACCTAATTACTGTTCAATTTTAAATTACATGAACAATCTGGCAATGACATGGGAAAAAAAGATGTTAATGGAACATTGAGCAATAGAATTTACTTGGTTGCAACTAATGCCTTTAATATATTAATTGCTCATATGTTTTCTCAGAAGCAGTGCAGACTGGAACAGCACAGAAGGAATTAACTAGGTACTTCAATGAAACAAAATACATATATGTTCCTGTTACTTTCATCTACATAACACAGCCATCAGAGAAAACCGAATAAATACATCAATTTTACACTGAGAATGAAGGCAGACCCATTACTCCATAAAGATTGCATCTTTAGTGTTTTCCAAGAGTTTCTGATGCATGGAATCAAATATTCCTTGCATATATAATTGTAGCTGAAAAAAGCAAATACAGAAACTCATGTGTTTCTGTATTCAATTGTACAAAATAGCCCTTTTCAAAATTATCAAGATTAGACTTTCCTCATGCCCAAAGCCAAATTCTTTGTACACTGTAGCTTATACACACACCAAAAAAAACAAAAAAACAAAAAAACAAAAAGAAAAACAAAAAACAACAAAGTAAGGCTATGCTATATTGTTTAGGATCGATGTATGGAAAAACTTAATACTAATTCTATCAAGAAAAATGCGTTGAAAATGGATCATGTGGTAGCAATTGTCAGACCACATTACCTCAAAATATAAGGGGAAAGTATTGTCCCACAAATTAAAAGATCAAGAAAGAGAAATTACCAATAAAGATACGACCAACCCTAGTACTTAAAGGGAGATTAAGATCCTAAAATCAAAGCAAAAGTCAATAAAATCAAACTAAACATGAAGCCATCATTGAAGATCACTATTACCATAACTGGGAGCAGGTATTTCTTCAATATTAGTATACGGGTTGACCATCCTTGACTCAGGAGAAGCATTATTAGCTTCAATCGAGTCAAGTCGTGCTACCACATTCTTCTTCAACTGTTGCATTGATTCTTTATACGCTTCAAGCTCATCCTGATCCATGTTATCAATGGCTACATCCCACCAAAAGCCACCATCGTTCATGTTCTCCATGTTCCCAATCATCTTTGCAACCCTTTGCTCCTCTTCTAATCGCTTTAATGATTTTAAGTATTCTTGCTTTTGAACTAACTGGGGCTCAATATTTTTGTTATTGACAGTTGAAGAGGTGTTATGACGGCTTTCTGTAGAAGCAAGATAGCGATCAAGAACGCTATCAACGTCTGGTTGGCCACAAGAGAATAGCTTTTGATGTTCCGAGAAGATAATGACGGCTGTTTCAGCCCCGCATAAGGTAGAAAGTTCGGTTGCTTTCTTGAAAAGCCCGCTTTTACGCTTTGAAAACGTGACATAGCGGTTGCTTTCTTTCTCTACTTTCTTTATTTCAATCTTTTGACGACCCTTGCTGGTCCTGCGTTGCTCCTGCTGGTTGTCGTTTGTTGAATCCATGGTTGTCAAAGATTGAAAAGCTTGGAAGGGAAAACAGAGTTTAGGGTTTTGAGATGTGTGCGTAGTATATTTGTAGATTCCTGTGATCTTGGATACTTGGGTCGAAATTATGACCAGTAAAGATCGGATGGCGAAAACTTCTGCACTCTCATTTAGGAAAGTTTTAACTGCTTGAATAGGAAGTCACAGCGTTTGTTAAAAGAAAATGAAAGAAAGAAAATCACTTTCTAATTTAGGAATTATTTTCCTATATAGAACTTGATGAATGTTTATGGTTGCCTAATGATCTCTGTCTTTATTTCAATTGATTCCTGGCTTATGAGGTCATTGCAAGTTGCTGGCTACTTGTCAAGCCTGATATGTGTTATGGTTATGAGCTCCCTGTCCCTACCATAATTTGTTTGCATCTCACCTTGCTATCGGGTCCTCTAATGGTGATGTTTCGTTTGGTATCTCTGGTTCTGGTTCATTTAAGTACTACTTTTATAAGCATTATAGCGTTAACTAGTTGCATGTTTAGCATATAAAATTATTTTCAAAAATTATTTTAATTTGATGGTCTTTGTCGTGATGCTCTGGTTTCTTTAAAAAATATATACTGAAATTAAAGAAAAAAAAGTTTTTCACCTAAGTTTAGGATTTTTTTAATCAATTTTTTGTACTTAATTAATTCTTCTAGTTTTATTTAACATATATCCTTCTTAAAAAAAGGATTTTTTTTTTTTTTTTATACATGGATTCTTAAATAAACATTTATAATGATCTAAAGAGCAAGTTTTAATTAATTAAAAATCCCAAAAAAATATGTAAAAGTGTAATTTTTTTTTTCAAAATTAAGATTGCACGAAAAAGATAAAGCAATAATCAATGTAAAAAAATTTTACACAAAAATTAATAAATTTAAAATATTTTTTTTATCATTATTGAAGATTGATGAGAAGATTAATTTGTGAAAGTATGTACATTAGGTTTGTATATATATATATCCAAAATTATCAATAATATTAGCATAAAAAAAACTCGTATTTGAAAAGTATGGTACCATTGGGTGTTTTTTTTATATAACATAATTTTAATTATTTAATTTTAAAAATTTTGATTTTAAAATATCTATTTTTTAAATAGTAAATATACAGTGTTTTGTGTGTAATACATTTAGTTAATTTCCAATAAAAATCATATAAAATTAATTTCATTAAATTTTGATTATATATAAAAAAGTAAATAAAAACATGGATTCTATTTTTTTCTTCTGAACATATATTTTTTTCCTTTCTAAACTACATATGTTTGGTCCCCATGCTTATGCCTCAGACGTATAACATTAACTTTTTATTTTTAATTATCATTTAATTATTTAAAAAATAAATTCATTTTTTTTATGCAATACACTTTCTAGCCTTTTAAATCAAATATATATATTTAAAATCATGATAGTCTCATTTAAAAACTAGAAAAATCCATCATATGAACTATATTTATTTTTATAATAAAAGAAAATAATCATGTTTATAAAAAAATTATTTCAAAATCTAGATATAAAGAAAAATAAATCATATCTGTAAATAAATAAATTTTAATTAAAAAAATTAATTGGATAAGAATTGTCATAAGAAATAATAAATTGAAAAAATAAATTTTAAATAATAAAAATAATATAATTTAAAATATATGTTATGTTTAAAATATAAAAAAATATCATTAATATTTCTTTCTCTCGTCAGACTACAGGAAACTCAAAATATAATGTTTTGAGTTTTTCAAAATCTATGCACAAAATCAAATAATAAAAAAATAACTAAAAAAGCAAGCACGTGCCAGGCCTGCACCCTTGGGCTTGGATAACCAAGCTTTGCATGCAAGGGCTGGACATGTATCGAGTAGCTGTAGCTCAAAAAATAGAAGTTAAATGGAAGACGACTTGTCGTCAGAAAATCTGTAGGAGACGACGAGTCGAATGTCTGCAACTTCCAACAAAATCATATATGATCATTGGAAACCTTGCTGAAAAATCAAGGTAGTGTATTCCGACCTTCCGATCAAGACCAATTTGATCACCATTTTTACCCCAAAAATATCTCAAAATTATTAAAATTAGCTCAAAAACTTATTTAGAACTTTAAAGCTTATGTAGAACTTTAAAGTTTATTTTAATACATCAAAAACACTCAAATATTAAAATTAAATTTAAAAATTCAAAAATATTTTGAGATTTCGATCTTTTTTTGTCTAATTATTTCATGATTTGATAACTATTATATACAAACTCTTTTCTACAAAGTGTAAGTGGAACCCAAGATCAACAACTTTGCCAAGTAAATAAATTTAGGTGAATAGTATAATAGAGGTGAATAGTGTAATAGTGAGGGGAAACACATTATTCATTATTGAGGGTACACCCGAAATAAGTCCCTCAGCTAAAGAGAGATTCTTGATTGAGTCTCTAAATATTTTGTTTCAACTACATTCCTAAGGTTTCAAAAATTCTAAATTGAATTCATCATTCATCTCTCGCTAATGAATTCTAATTGCATTACCAATGTTACATTTTGTTTCCTACATTTCAGTAATTAAATAATATTTTGATAAAAATTTCTGCCCATAATCGAAAAAATTGATTGGGACAATAAAATGAACATTTAAAAAAAAAACAAGAACAAATAAGATATAATTAGAAATCTATAAACATATAAGAGACTTACAATATTTTATAAAGATAAATTAAGTTATTTATATTATTTTTATGAAAAAATAATGTTATTTTTTAGAAGTTTGACAAAAAATTTCTTAGGAGTTTTAATGGAAAACTCAATTGAGAATTTTTTAATATATACCTCATTACCTTCGCAGTTGTGAATCCAATGAAAACAAAATTTTTGGGAACTCAATTGAGATTTAAAACATATTTTGGAGGTCAATTTAAGATTTGCCCTCATATTTATCTTGTTAAGAAGGTCTAGTTAACGCGAAAAATCATAGGTAAATTAAGTCTATTATATCCCTCGTAGGCTTGACCAATTATCACACACATTTATGCTCTACATGGCTTTAAGTAGTAGTAACTTGAATTGCTAGATCACCTCCTCTATTTCTACCCTCTACTTTCTTCCTCTCTTTATGCGTGTTATTCTTTTTCTTTAATTTGTTAAGCTTGTTTCTTTTATCTTTTACCTTTTTACCCTCGATCCGTTATAACTTATATAACAGATTAGTTTAGTTTAGCTTTTCTATTTTACCCTTCAATACATGTACATAAATCATAGAAGAGAGAGAATGAATTTTGAATCTTTTTTCTTTCTCTCACAAAATGTTTCCGTTATGGTATCGAGCAACATTTTCTACTCGTGTTTTGCTCTTTAGTTTCCGAGTAGCCAAACATAAACGTTTGAGCTGATATTCTTCATGCTTCCATCTCTCCATCAGCTTTTCTTCATTTGTTATAATCTTCAATCTTTATTTTCTCTTCCCGTGATTAGTTCATGGCCTCTTTTACCACCGACGTTGGTTCTAGACCGAAAGATCATCCTTTTTGTCCATATTATATACATCTAAATGAGAATCTATTATTGGTTCTTGTTTCTTCTCTTCTAACAAATTTAAATTACCATAGTTGGTCTCGTGCCATGCGTATGGCCTTGCTTTCTAAAAACAAACTAAAATTTATTGATGGAAGCATCCCCGTTCCTTCATAAACTAATCCTATCTACTCTCATTGGGAACATTGTAATACCACGGTCCTCTCATGGTTATTTCACTCTTTATCTCCTAATATCACTCAAAGTGTTTTATGGATTAACACGAGTAATTGATCCGTGGCTTGATCTTAAGGAACGCTTCTCCCATGGTGATCATTTTCGTATTCGTTGAACTTCAAGAGGATATTTACTCATTCAATCAAGGCACTCTCTTGTCGGTGCTTACTATACTCAATTGAAGACACTTTAGGAAGAGTTCATAAACTTACGTACCATGCCCGCATGTAATTGTACTCTTAGATGCTTCGTATCGATCTCAACAAAATTAAAAATTTTCGGAGGAGTGATTATGTCATTTGATTTACGAGAGGGTTGAATGACAATTTTGCTACTCGTCATATCCCAAATCATGTTAATGGATCCTCTACCCTCCATTAATCATGTATTTGCTCTTGTTGTTCAACATGAAAGATAGCTTGGGGTTCTCTCTCGCTTCTAATGGTTCTAACCATACTTCGAGCATTATTTTACGAGTAAATGAGCCTCCTATTCTACTTCTTTAAAAGCTGGTAGTTATAGTTCTAGTAATCAATCATATGTTAACTCATCACATACTCGGTGGTTCCAATATTGGTATGAGCTTAAGGGTTTGGGGAAAGAGACTCGTTTATACTCATTGTAATGGAGTAGGTCATGTGGTGGACCGTTGCTAACAAAAGCATGGATTTCCACTTGGTTTTAAAAATCATAAGTAAGGATCAATCACTCGCTAATCGGGTCACCTCTGTTGATTCCGATTCTCATTATTTTTAGGATCATGTTCGCTTAGTAACAATAGATATGATGACTCTTAACACAATCGCTTCACCCTCACTTAGGATCAATATATGTACTTGTTATCCCTTTTGCCTAATCAACCTTCTAATATCTCATTGAATGATCCCACACCTTCTATTAACAATTTTCATAATACTTCTTCCACTACACCAAGTTTTATAGGTACTCATTTTTCTTTTTGTAATTCTTCCCACACTACCGATATCTCGGTTTGGATTCTTGATACTGGTGTTACGGATCATATTATTTGCTCTTTATCTAGTTTTTCTTCATATCAACATGTCACACACACAAATGTCAAGTTGTCGAATAACCGGGAGTGCCGATCACTCACAAAGGCACTCGTCATTTTATCCGATTTTCTTGTTTTGACGGATGCATTATTTGTTCCTACTTTTTCTTTTAACTTGATATTAGCAAGCAAGTTAACAAAATAATTGAATTGTTGTTTGTCTTTTTTTTCTTCTT